AAAAAAAAAGTTATAATTTCCATAAAGTGCATATCTTAAATTATAGCTCAATTTTTACATGTATTCATTTATGAACCCTCACTTAGATCCAAACACCACTATCACCTCAAAAGATTCCTTTATGCCTCTAGTCAAGAACTCCTACCCCCTATCTCCACTCCTGGGTAAATCCCATCCTCCCTCTCATCTCCCCACATTAGTTCTGCATGTTCTTGAACTGCACATAAATGGAATTATACAGCAGGTACTCTTTTGTATCTGCTTATTTTTTGTCCAAAATGTGAGACTGACAGGCACTGCTACAGTTATTGTTTTTTATTGCTATGTATTATTATATCATATAACTATATCACAATTTATTCCCTTGTTGATGGACATTTAGGTCACTTTCTAGTTTTAGGCTATCATAACTGTAGCTCCTATGAGCTTTCTCCAACATTTTTAGTAGGCATATGTTTAGTGAAAGTAGATTCTGCCTAGTAGTTTTTTCTTTTTTTTTGAGACAGAGCCTCAAGCTGTCCTGGGTAGAGAGCCGTGGCATCACAGCTCACAGCAACCTCCAACTCCTGGGCTCAAGCAAATCTCTTGCTTCCGCCTCCAAAGTAGCTGGGACCACAGGTGCCCACCACAATGCCCAGCTATTTTTTGGTTGTAGCCATCATTGTTGTTTGGTGGGCCCAGGCTGGATTCAAACCTGCCTCCTTAGGTGTATGTGGTTGGCACCTTAGCCACTTGAGCCACAGGTGCTGAGCCTCAAACAAACCTTCTAACCACAAGGTGATGATGATATCCTATGCTTTCTTCTAGAAACCTGATGTGGTTCGATACCTTTTTTTTTTTTTTTGCAGTTTTTGGCAGGGGCTGGGTTTGAACCCACCACCTCCAGCATATGGAGCCCACTCCTGTGAGGCACCACCCAATACCTAAATTTATTATTTCTCCCATCCAGCCAAATTTGTCATATTTGAGATTATGCCACTTCATAACACAAACTGAATTTATGAAATCATGTTAATTAGGCGTGGTATTATTTAAAAATCAAAACCCCCTGATATCAAATAATAAATTATAATGATGGGGCTGTACTTCCTTTAATACTATGCTACTATGACTTCTCATAGAACTGCCTGAGTTATTACTTCAGCTTTTAATAATGCTTTAAATGATGGATGTTGGTACTTTTCTTACAATACTAAAAGATATTTCAACATTCTGAAAAACGAGTGCATTGCAGGTAAGAGACACTCCTCAGTCTGTATTTGAATTATATAGTATCTCTCTTGTTAATGAGCTTATGCTAGGCAAAGGACAAAGAAAAAAAAAAACCAAGCACCATACATGTTTATGTGACCAACGTGAAAATGGTGATCACCACAAACATCCAGTATACCACGAACCTTTTAACATTATCCTAAAATTTCCAGGTATGAAGAAACACCATGAGGAACTTGGGTTCATCTGGTCATTCTCTTTTGTAAACCTACTGAAACACAAACTTAAGAGTCACCAGTGAGATTTACCTGTACTTGGAAATGAGATGTGCCTTGTCTGCACCCACCCTACTTGCTCAAGAATACAGTTCATTCTAAAGTCTGTGTTCTCAATTACTTTATTAAAAATCAATTAGTAACTATTACTACACATTGTTAGGAAAATAAAGCCAATTGAATGTTTTTGGATTGGCTCTACATTACTATTCAAACATTTTAGTTTTTAAAAGCCTATTATTTCACCAAGTATCAATTAAAGTTTATGCAATTTGCACATAAATCACATAGCACACTATAAAAAACCAAAATGGCACCTGGAAGCAAACCAAGATTTACCTGTAGTAATGGCTCTATGGAATTGGTGCATGTCTTCTCCTGACAGCTCCTGTGCTACCTGCAGTATCTTCTGTCGGACACCATCCAGTTTAATTTCTGATTCATTCAGTATTTCTTCCATATCAGGAGCACTATAATCAAGACATTGGAAACTTTCAGAACATGAGTCAGGTGCTTTATTTTTTTGTTTTTTGAGATAGAGTCTTACTATTTCACCCTCGGTAGAGTGCTATGGCGTCACAGCTCACGGCAACCTCAAATTCTTGGGCTTAAGCAATTCTCTTGCTTCAGCCTTCCAAGTAGCTGAGACTACAAGCACTCACTACAACGCCTGGCTTTTTGTTGTTGTTGTAGGTCACTGTTGGTTAGC